TGCTAACCAGCAGCAGGTGCCCCCCCCAATCAAACATTTCATACAAAACAATTTACCATATGTGAATATTTTACTATCATTTCTGATACCTTCATTTTTAACAGTGTAGGCCAAAACAGTTTCCACTACAGCCACAATTTTTAGTGCTATAAATGCTGTATTACAAGCAGCACCACATTTTCACAGTTATTTCCATGAATTTCACCTTGTCCACAAGAAAGCTGAAAGATACGTGTGCCAACTGAGTTTCAATTTAACTGAAACCACTGGTCCCATTCACTTACAGGAGAAAGTAAAGTTTAAAAAGACACAACAATATTTAGCAACACAAGCAATTGTTTGGGGCAGCTTGTCTAAAGCAACAGTTTCTCCACCTCTGACACAATTATTCCACAGTTTGGAATCTGAACATATACTACATTTTGTCCTTCACACAACCGGCAGCCAATGGGTGTGTGAATGAATAAATCTGAGGAGTCATCACAGGAAAGCTTCACTAAGATTGCTACTCCACCCCTTAGCAGAGTTCCCTCTGCTATCATCAGCTTGAATTCTACACTGCTTCCCAGCCTAGTTATTCTGAGCTGACACCTACAGGGAGGGCACATTGGTTTTGGCATTTAAACTGTTTCAACCCTCAGAGTTCATCTAACATCCTCCCTCATTGTTCAGCATAGTGACCACTATAGATCTTCAAAGCAAAAATATGAGTAATATCATTTGCTGGAGCTATTCATGTTAGATTGCAAGCTTCATGCTTCAGCAGAGGACTCCAAGAAGAACGCTCTCTATCAGTCCTGTACAGGCACAGGAATAAACACAATAGCTGCACTTTCCTCCACAACTCAGCCTATTTTACAAGGTTTTACAAGGTTTTACTAGAGAACATTCTTATTGAACATTTTACACCGAGAGCTCCCCAGAACAGTCTGCAAACTGTCCAAACCGCAGTCTGCAAATGGTTCCAAACATGCATCTTGAGAGGCATTCCAAACACTGAGATGTTTCTAACTGCTTCTTAACTTCATGTTTCCTGTGTGATGGACTAATGCTGATAAGTGATGCATGAGCTTATGGAAATCACTGCTCCCAAAAATGACACTGATAAAACATGAGGAACAGGGAGAGGGAAAGGGGACACATTTGAGATCAAACAGGTGTACCTCAAAAGGCAGTGTAACCAAGTCCTTTATCTGTCACATAATTTCTCAAAAGGATACATTTCTGATTACTGATGACAAAGCTGTATGGTAACTACATTTCCTCAAACATATTATGTATGGGACTGCTTTACATAACACCATTTGAGAACATACAGATAGAAAACAATCAACAGTATGTGACATGTCATCATCTTAAGACTTCTTGCTAAAGTCTTTTAAGTAACAAAATCTTTTATTTGATACGTCAAAACACTTTCTTCTGAGGCACAAACACGCAAAAAAAAAAAAGGCAAACAGAGATTTTTCGGGAGAGAAGGAAATATTTTCCACAACAAAATTATATCTAGAGCTTCCTCCAGGCTATTCTAAATCATTTTGTGCAAGTGTTTTGGCAACTGAATCAAATATAATTAAAGTGAAAGTATACAGCAATGAAATAAATTAGAAAGAAAAGTGAGAGTATTTAAACCTAGTGGACTCATTTTAAATGTATGAAAGAATTGCAGATTCTCCCATTAAATTAGTTAGCAAAACCAAAATCAGTAGCACAGGCTAACATACACAAAAAATTCTACAAGTTAACCATTAAAAAACGTATCATGTCAATTAAATACATGAAAAAGGACAATGGTAAAAGGCAATATACAGTGTCACACAAAAATGTCGCTATTTGTTGGTTTGTTTTGCTTTTTTTTTTTTCTCCAGGAACAACCATTAAGTTCCATTTTGTTTGCATCTTCAGATGGATTTATCACATTCGTAAAAATTACCAATTATACTGAACCAGAAAGAATTGCATTTTAAAGTGAAAAAAAAAAGAAAGAGTTCTCTCTGAGATCAGAAGTTCAAAGCATATAAAAATAAGTTATGAATTAAGCATCTAGCTGCAAAAGAATTTTAAGTACATACTGAAAGTGAAGGAGAAACTTGAGAAGCAGCAATGCTGAGTTAAAGAAAACAATTGTCAGAAATGAGATCTGGGTATAGAGATACTAGCTAGACCAAAACATCTGGACTTCCTACACAAAAGTATCATGTAGAGGGGAAAAAAACCAAAACCCTCCACATTTAACAGATCCCCTTCAGACTAAGTCTGACAAAGCACTGTAAGTGGAAAGGCATTGTGGGCACCAGGATACGGAGACATGAACTAAAAAAGCTGAAAACAAGAAAAAGTTGTGTAAAAAGAGCAGATTGAAAAACAGCCTAGAGAAAGGGGAAAGGAAATATGCAGCTAGAGCTAGTGCATACACAAAGGTTCCAAATTACAGGGGTGATGAGGAATATTTAAAATGGCACAAAATATGACTCGAAATACCAGCATGAAGTTACAAAAAAGAACCACTAAACGTCAAATAAATCCTCCTGCCAGTGAGAAGCAATCATCGAAATAACCTTCCGAAAGAAAATTAATCACTTAGAACACATACAGGACCTCACTGGCCAAGACAATATTAAAATGCACAAGTCAACAATCCTGCTTGAGTGAACAGATGGACTGGGTAACCTAAATAAATTTTTCATCCCTAACTCCTATGATGACGTTCAGAAGATCTGACAGGCTCATGCACAATACCCTGCAGTCCTACAAGTATGTGAACAAGTACAGTAAAAAGACATTGACATCAATTATGAAGACCAGCACAAAAATATATATCCACAACCTCTTTGTAAGGCTACATTTGTTTTGTTTTGTTTTTTTTAAAGGCACCTCATCCTCTAGCTATTGCCAGCTTTAAAAAAAGTCACTTCTCAGTTTGAGCAAAAGCTCGATAGTGAGAAGGAAACATCTTTCAATTCACATTTGAACAGCCACTTCTTACATTCCAATTGTAATCAGAATGACAGTCTTTAAAAACGAGCATGCTGGCCTATTCGTTTTATGTACAGCAATTTAAACAATTTTAACTACATACTGTATTGTGTAAGCAAAAGCACAACATTCATTTCATACTCACACCATTATCCTTTGTATACACAAACTCAAGAGAACTCTTAATACTAAAACATTAAAATGCACCCATAGAGTCTTCCCTTACTAGACATATTTAATACATGTTTACAATATATATACACATATGTAATATACATAGCTTTTAGAATTTTTCAAATAAATCTTTGTAATTTCCTCTCCAAAAAGAAATAAAATAATGACACTGAAAGAATATGAGTCAAGTACACAGAACTCTCACTAAGTTGAATGCTCAGTTTTGCAGACAAGTTTTCCCTCTTTTTATCATAAGCAAAACATTTTTAAAAACTAAATCTGAATCATTATCGTAATCATCTTTTTCATGGTAAAAGTTCTAACCTTACCTATGAAAATATATTGCATATCAGTATCATGAAGTGACATATCTGAATATTCTGAGCAAAAAAAGGTATTCCAGGATACTTTAGCAGTAAATATAATGTGTTGCAGGCTCAAAAAGCACAAGTCAACCTTTTATTCTAAATAATACAGTTAATCTAAACTCTGAGTTCAGCATCAATAGTGGTCCCATCTCTAAATATCACATGAACAACATGGTCAAATCCTATGTTGATATCTTTCAATGATTCCTTCTTAAAAAGTGTCAGCGTAAAGGTTAAGATGATCAGTTTCCAGTCTTAGCCTCAGGCTGGTCTTTGAAAGGATTGCCTATGTTGGGTTCTTTCCTACTCACATCAGCACCAGAAATAATCGAATAATAGGCAGAATAAATTCTGCCTTCCATTCCAATTTGAGGAAAACACCAACTCCAGACTGAAGAGCAGTAAGGGCTTTCATGGTGACATGTAACAAGAATCCACTCACTTTCATTATAGGGAGGGACAAAAGGGAAGGGATAAATTGCCAAATATTTTGGATTAAAAGTTACTTGTCACTTGAATCAACAGAGAAGTTCTGAATACTGAGACAAAACACATCTGTTGAGCAATTTTAAAAAAGCATTCATTCTTCAGGTAACCTAATTAATGGCACAATATGCCCAGTGAAGCACACGTGGAAAAGTTCCACAAATGCTGTAGTCTGGAAATGCCTCTACAAGTAGCAGAAACTTTCACACAGATCGACCTTTGTGCAGGCACCTGTGATGCTAGTAGGACTCATACAAAGCATAGGTTTAATCTTCAAAAGAAATTGAGTATTTCATGGTTACACGATGCCCAGAACGATACCCTTTTTTTAGCAGGAACAAAAAGAGGAGGATGAACATATGATAATTACACTGTAAGAGTTTCTTTGGGAAATCTTATAATTTCCTGTGCCAGATCTCCAAGAAAAACAGTATTATAAATCTGAATAAGTTAATCTGCTATGAAGTATGTACAGACTGCTTCAGTCTGCTGTTAACTGGGACTAGACTAAAGGCTAAGCTTCTAACCACATGCTAATGCAATTTAAAAAATTATACAATTTTTTTTTTGCAAACTAAATATTTGCCATATAACACCAAATATTTAATAAAACTTTACTGTATTTCAATTTATGTTAGTAATTTGCTTTTCTTTATCCACATTTATCTTAGGCTAGCAGCCAGGTGGCTGAGATTAAGTATCAGCTACTGCTCTCTGAATGTGATCTACTCGTTAATACCGAAGAGATTAAGGGATGACAAAGTGCCTCTCACATGACACAATAACAAGCATCTGAACTGACACTTTTTCCAGGTGATTTAATCTTAAGTACATCAAGATTCCTCAATAAGAAGCATCCCATAAAATTTCCCTCTTTTCCCTCTCTCCCTGAAGCAATTAGACCTCTTCTTTCCAGTACTCCATCTTAATAATAGAGAACACATAGACCTAATTTCACCCAAGGCCTGCCTGGACGAAAATTAACAACCTCTCAAATTATTTTTTTTTTTTTTTTTTTTTTTTTTTTTTTTTTTTCCCTTTTTTGAAAGTAGTTGAAACTGAGAGTTTCCAAGCTCTCAGCACCAGCTGAGCTCACAGAAACCAGAACAAATTTCAATTTAGAAAACAGCACCCTGCAAAAACTAAACACTTACAAACATTCTCTGATTGGGCAGGAGACTCACGCCCTTCTCTTCTCTTTTGTGCAGCTGGTTAAATATATACAAAGCTAAAGTTGGAAAGGGACACACTCTGTCATACAAACACTTTTGCCAGGGCATCTGCTCCTGCACTGGCAATATAACATTTGGATGGGTGGAATGCCACATCATGAATGGACTCATCAAATTTTTTGCGATGAGCAGTGAACTCTTGGATGCAGGTCTTGCTTTCAAGATTCCATAAGCGAATTGAACAGTCATGACCTAAAGAAAGGAGAAATGGTTTCTTTATAATTCACGCTTGCTACCACTATGTGAAAAGGAAAATGAAATTTAATGTACTTACTGCCAGACATCAAGTACAAGCCATTAGGATCGACAGCTAAACTTGTAACTGCATCTAAGTGAGCTACCATGGAGTGGATCAGTTTCCCTTTGAAAGAAAATAATTCAAGTTACTTTCTGTAATTCACTGTAAACTGCGTTCACTTTTTAAACCTCACCACAGCCCATTTAATAAGTATATTATCTTGTCCCATGATTGAATCAGCAAAAATTGTAGGAAACCCCACTCTTTTAATTTTTACATGCTCAGTAATGCTGCAGAACCAATACCATCAACTTTGTTCCTTTGCTTTTTGTGTGCAAATCCATCCTGATGCTGCAATCACTGTGCACATTAAATATCTATCCTCTAAGGGACTTAAGTGAGTTGAGCAGTAAGACCTTGACTGAGAAGGAGGACATGGGCTGAGTACTCTGATAAGCAATGAATCTAATTAAATAAGAATACAGAATGATTTTAATCAACTCAGAGAGAAGTGGTGTTCTAGAACAGCTTATTAATATTAATGATTTGGTGTGAAATACACAAAATCATGGCTCAGATATATTTTTTTGGTTGCAGAAAATAATAAAGAAAAAACTGAAAAGCTCAGTGTTTCCTCTACGATACATTATGGCATTATATCATCAAACAAATAATCAATTTTCAGCTTTCATCTCAGTTTCCATTGGGTGCCTTTTATTTAACATATGTGAAGAACAGCTAGCATAAAATCAACTAGAATGTCGAAAGATCTCAGTTTAACTTTTAGGTCTGTGTGATCTGGAAGCAGAGAAGTCACAAGCTGAAGAAAATCAACATTTACAATCAGAATGACAGTTCAATGCTACCACTCCTACAAAAATTTCCTTTATGTAATATATAATTATACAGGTTAGTGCAACTCTCACTACAGATTTGAAAAAGTATTCTAATGGTCTACTGTTTCTGCAGAAAAGAGAGATGGAGAAATAGAGTGTATTAAACTGAGAATTATGCCCTGCAAGGAATCTACTACCTCCAAATCATTAAGTGGAAGTCTTAGAAGCAGTAAAGTGGTGCCTAGACTCCCTGCCCTCATATCAGAGCTCTAGACAAGCACTATGAACATAAGGACATGAAAATTAAGAATTTGCTTTATTGATAACCACTAAGTTTAAAGCATTTTAATAGAACTAACAGAGTGAGTGATGAAGGTTCCTTATCATTATCCCAATAAACTTTTAAGTAGACTGGCAATCTGGGGGCTCAGGCAGTGAAAAAAAGATTTTTGTTTCAGAGGACATCCAGTTCTTAACATTCTTCAGCATTTGTGCACATAACATTAATCATAATTCTACTTGCATTTTATGTCATACAGCTAAATACTATGACTAGGTCCTGCTGAAAAGATACGGATGCATACCTGTATTGTTGTCATAGAATTTGATGTGCCTGTCTTCATGAGCAGTGATACTAATTGGAAGAGTCGGATGGCTGATGACTCTGTTTATCTGACAGGAAGTACTGACCGCTGGGGAAAACAAAACAAAACATATTGACACGTGTAAATTGCTAAGGTCTTTGAAAAACTGCAATTAAAAAATGCATATGTAATCAATTTTATATGCAATGTAATTTTCGGTAAGAATAAGTATTCAAAAACTAAGTGAAAATACTATTTTTGCATTTCCTCACCTCCACACTGCTCCTCTTTGTCAAGTCAAATTTTCATTGTAACATACAGGCAGACAAGAAAGTTAACATTGTAGTAAGAATGTTTAAAAGTAAAGAGGATTCCTCACCACCACAGAACAAAAGGCATGTACTATCACTAGATACTAGGCTATTCATATGACAGGCACATTCTCAGCATTCAAGAATCCTGAAATATCACTATTTCATATTTATATAAATAGACATGCACGTGTGCAGGAAGTAGAAAATTACACAAAAGATACTTTGGTGGGTTATTTTTTTTTTAATAGAAACCTAGACATTGACTTGCCAAGCACAGTGAGACTTAAGGAGTCCCTAAGCGGTGACGGTAGGCCACTTCAGATCACTCATCTACTATTGCCTAGTTCTTGTATTATTTATTTAATACAGCTAACTTTTAGAGCACAGTTACGTAAGTAAAAATACTAAACAGAGACTACTAGATGTTGGTGAGCTTCTTTTTTTTTTTTTTTTTTTCCCAAAAAGAAGAATATTTTTGTACAGTTGTTTTTTTGGGGTTTTTTTTTACTACAGTGAGGAGAATCCTGCACAATAAAGTAATAATACGAAGAAGGAAGGCGGGATTTTCTGTTCACTCTTATAAAATGTCAAATTTGTTAAATTTCATGAAAAGAGATGAGCAAAACTGATAAGAAGGGCATGCTCCCTTTTAAAAGTATAATCATACAGTAGCATTCACTAGCATAAAAGTTTCAGCTGAAAAAAAAAAAAAAAAAAAAAAAAATCAAAGTTTTAAAAAAAGACTGAACATTTTTATAGTTCTCAGGTTACCATTTTGACCCAAATATGAATCCTTGTGCTTTAGCTGCTTCTGGCCCCTCTCCTAGAGATGGGAACACTGCCATGATCCAAAGCATTGTGAAGGAGCTTGTGAGCTCTGCTCATCTTCAGTGAAAACTTCAAACAAAGCCTGATTGAAAATGAGCCAATACCGCTTATGAAAAACATAGAACTTGTCCTACACATTCACAGATCTTTCATGAATTCCACCTGAGATTTGTGTGATACTATCTCTGACTTGCAATTTTGGACTAAAGAGAAAATGGAAAATCCTGATTAAAAAAATCTCAGGAAGTTCTGTTCTTTTCCTTCTGCCACTGTTCCTTGAAGAATAAGTTACAGTCTCTGCAGTTCTTCCACCTTTTTTCAAAGCTATGTTTGCTCTTCTACTAAAAAGCTTCTTGCTTTAGTATAGTAATAACAACTTACTCCTACATCTTAAAACACGTTTAACATAATACATGATGCAAGTTACTAAGATACACCGTTTGCCTAATTGCTTGGAAACACTGAAAGGACTATTAACGGCATTTGAACTCAATCTAGCAATTTTTTTCTGTTTTGAATACATACCATTATCTACTCCAGACTCCAGGGTAAGAATCCGTTGCCGTGTCTCCATGTTAAAAATGCTAGTGTGTCCAGTGTTAAATGATGCTACCATGAGGCTTGGGTCACTGCTCACAAGATCTACTGAGGAAGGGATTCCCATTTCTAGAAAACAATGCAGAGAACATTTTCATAAGCAGCAGATTGTGTAAAAAAAATAGAAAAAGAACACCAAGCATTTTCATATTTAAAGTCTTATGATTATGAAATGTTACATTTTAAAAACTACATTATGACAATCCAAATAGATGGTCTGGAGTGATCACTACTTTAAACCTGCTTTTCTGGTATGTATTTCAACATTCTTTATTGAGATGCTCTATCTGGAATTGAGATTGGACAGAAATCTAATTTGAAATGTGCTGGAAAGTAAGAACCTCGTGTGTTCCACCTGCCCTGCCCCTTTTCTTCCTTTAAATGCAAGAAAAAATTTCAGCCAAACCTTCAGTGAAGGGACATAAAATCAAAACAGGAAAATCATTTACATGACAGATGATTTTAAGCTGCTGTTAAACTGGACAACTTCAGAGCTTAAAAAAACCCCAAAGCTTTCCAAATGTAAATTTTACATGCTGAAACTATCAGCATGGAAAGTTACGTAAGTACATTAAAAACCTCACATTACATAACTTCTTCCATCCTGCCCATTACATATCAGATGACTTTACACAGTGGCTATCTGAACACTACAGGATAGAAAGCCAGATCAGCAGAGGCTGAGTATGAGAAACATCCCTTAAAATTTCTGCCCTCAAATGTACTTTTCCCTACCAACTAAATAAAAGAACAACACCATTTTCAACAGATGTCATAAGCAGGAGGAGGAAGAGGTAAAATCATAGAATGGTTTGGGTTGAGAGGGACTTTAAAGACCATCCAGTTCCAATCCCTCTCCAAGGGGCAGGGACACCTTCTAATAGATCAAGTTGTCCAGGGCCCCAGCCAGCCTGGCCTTGAACACTTTCAGGGATGGGACATCCATAGCTTCTCTATGAGAAGCCTCACAGAGAAGCCTCACCGCTCCCACAGTTAATAATTTCTTTCTGATGCCTAACCTATATCTATACTCTTTGTCCCAGCTCTACACTTCCTGACAAACAGATCCTCTCTCCAGCTTTCTTGTAGGCCCCCTTTAGGAAATGGCTGATATAAGGACTCCCCCCAAAGCCTTCTCTTCTTCAGGCTGAATAACCCTGACTATTTCAGCCTGTCTTCCTAGAGAAGTTGCTCCACAGCCCTATGATCATCCTTGTAGATGATCCAACTGATCCATGTCCTTCTCAATGCTGGGGGCCACAGAGCTGAATGCAGAACTGTGAGTGGAATCTCACAGGAGCAGAGCGGAGAGGGACAATCACCTCCCCCATCCTGCTGGTCTTCTTTTGATGCAGCCCAGGATACAGTTGGCCTTCTGGGTAGCCAGGTGAAGCACCTTGCACTTGGCCTTGTTGAACTTCATGAAGTTCATACAGGCCTTCCTCTCAAGTCTGTCCTGGTCTCTCCAAACGCATCCCAAGTAACCTGCAACACCTAGTTTTCAGATATGTGTGACTGTCCCCCTGTGTGTAGGTATCAATATTGGCTGGTGTCAGAATCCAAAATTCACTACTCTTCTAAGCAATCATAGCAGTATAAATCCAGTAAACAAACAAGAAAGATATCTACTCAGTAGCCAAGATTATGGTGGTCTGAACAGTTATGCTAATGAACTTAAAATTCCATACCCTGATTATCATTAAATACGTTGAGAGCTGGAGCAACTTCTGTAGCTTTCCACAAACGTACAGTGCCGTCTGCAGAACAGGACAGCAAACGCTGGTGTGTGCCACTGTAAACCAGACCCCACACTGCATCAGTATGGCCTACAAAAGCACCTCTTAGAACAGAAGGATCTGTGAACAAAAGACAAACAAACCACATTTCAAAACAAAAACTGAATTAAGTGAATAGTTTTATCTTGCTCTGTGCTTATGGAGCAGCCTTAACAAGCTAGTCTGTAAAAAAAACAAAACAAAAACAGCCAAGCTGGTCTTATCAGTGTAACAGTGTAAATTATTCTATTATTCTTTAATTTCATCAGCACAAGTGGCATTCAGTTTCCCAGTTTATAATTAATTCCCAGTTTGTAAAAAAACTTAATAATAAAGTTTCAGCAGAAGAAATGGTATTAAAGATAATAAAACAGATTTTGATTTTAAAATAAAACTCACTCTCAAAGAGCCACTAATGGTATATGTCAGTCTTTTTTCATAAGACAGCCTTGAAGCCAATTGTATCTGATGCTATGAGATGTGAAGAACATTTTAAAACAGACACAAGGCTGAGGCCTGTTTATAGCTCATAAACATTACTGAAATATGCAATTTTATCAGTTTGAATATAATATTAACAGCTTTGGTCTCAGACTCTACAACCTCTTTATCTCAACAGCATAGATTTGTCAAAGAATGTTTATATATACATTTCCTGTCCTTGTTAGTATCAGGTTTAGTCCTGTACTTTTTCAACCTAGCTGTTTGCCAGAACTGTAATGAGATCAAGGCTCTTTTTAAGAAGTTGAAAAATTCCATCTTCTCATCAATCAACATCAATATTAAAACAAAAATTTATTTTAACTGGAGCAAATGTTCAATCTTCTTTTAATTTTTCCAATAAATACTACCTACAAATTATACTATTTTAGCTATTAATGTCACTAAATGTGTCCTTTTGTTGGTATCTGACAACTATGTACCATAAGAGTCGTAGGGGTCGATGTTGGGATTTGTTGTATTCCAGCCATGGATGAGGCCATCAGTTCCCCCACTGTAACACTGCTCACCATTACTGCTCATCACCACACAAAGCACTGGCCCACTGGAAGAAACCACATTCCCAAAAGTTAACTATTAACATTTTCATTAAACGATAAATACTGTCAAATGATTCTTCAAATTTTCCTGTTAAATACAATTAATTTATTGCATTGGCTGCAATGAAAATTCTGCATTCTCAGATCATAGGCTACATTACTTCCTAAATAGTATCTCAGCAATATTTGGTAATTTAACTGCAGTCTGAACAATTTAGACATTTCACATTTTGAAGACGATAAGTTTTATTATTTTCATTTTTATCTCATTTTTTCATTTTTTCCCCTCTTTAAAAATCGAAAATTTTTCCATGAAAACCATTCAGTAGATTTTAATTCATTGGACATAGCTTCATTCTACATATACACATATCTGGCAAAAAGGCAAGAGCTGTAATGAATGGAATACCTAGTTGAATGTGAACTGCATAATTTGTAGTTTAAAAATGGTAGTGTACCCAGCGCCAGACAAAAACAGATGAAAATAAGTAGGTATTTTAACTAAAATGGGAATAAAAGCACTGCACGGAACCATTAGGTGACACAGTGCTTTAAAATTGCTTTAAAAATTTTTGTGTCTGTTTAAAGATCTTGTATTTCTCAAATAAGACAGCGTTCTAATCAAATACTCACCTGTGTGCTCTGAAGGTATATATTGGCTCTACATCAAGAGAAGCACTCCTAAATGAAGTACAAGGAAATGTTAACACACATATGACCTTACATTATGCTTTACAAAAATGTGCCAGAATTAATAAGTTCTTAAAAAATCACCGCTACCACTTTTGAAATCTCTGCTACAAAAAATCATGTCAAAATAAGAAATTGTATATCTAGTAATTCTTTCCATTCTTTCAAAATACGATAGGATTTTCCCTTGCTTGTCTGATTCATAGACCTTCAAGGTGAGAAAGCTCAGGAAGTCTCACACACCAATCAAAGCAGAAGGTACATCAGTGGTTTGAAAGGAGTAGAACGCTATCAGTATCAGATGGAATATTTCCTTGTTTCAAATCCCCACCCAAGGAAGAGAGCTTGTAACACCTTGCTTTTATACCAAAGCTCTAACAGTTACAAATCATTTAAACTGCTGCTCAGGACTTCACAAGTCAGGTGTTGGGATTTTATTTGCTTTTTTTTTCAGGACTACCACAGGCATTGTCCAGTCTTCATAAAAGGCATGATGCACACCCTTCACTATGTTAACCTTATTACAAATTTATTCGTTTCCTCACGTCCCTTGCAATACAAAGAAAACACTGTACACATAAGCCTAGCAACATTGCTGTCAATGTTTACATGTATATATATATATACATGCACATGAGTATACATTTACTTTTTACATATACGCATGTATGTTTATATATTTATATGCAGATACAAGGACACTAGGAGGTTGCAGACAAATATTTTTACTAATAAATTAGTTTCCCATTTTAGTCTACACACAAAATACGTACACTCAAAAGAAGAGAACAGTTTTTATTTTTGCATGCATAGATTTCTTCTCATACACTTTAAAAGTCTCCATAATTCTTTAAGAGTTTCTTTTCGTACTTAAGGGACAATTCCCATTGACTCCCAAGGACTACCAGATGAAGCAGTACCTACAATTTTATTTAGATAAATATAATGCTTTAAAGAAGTAAAGCAAAAAAAGATCTTACTTTTTTGCTGGGGCTGTTTTTTGTAAATTCCACATTTTTAATGTATGGTCCTCTGAAGCTGTTATTAGCACAGGCTCAACTGGGTGAAAAGCTAAACCTCTTATTCCGTCAAAGTGGCTTCTTAATGTGAATTTGGGGTTCCAAGTCTTTCTCAGTGCATCCGTATTGTTTCCTATCTAAAAATAATAATCAAAAAGGGACATTTGTAATTAGTCTGGAAAATACAAGGAAAGGATATCAGAGCTTTAGTCTGCCATTTTCAGAATTAACTAATTTTTCATAATAACTTGTTCTCGAGTAACAATCCACTTAAAGCTCATCAGACCACTCAAAATGAGTATGAAGATAGAGATACTCTGCAAAGGCAACAAGTCTAACTCTGCAGCAATGCATTCTGTGCAAATCTGAAGTCCACATGTCTACTAGGCTGCACAATTCAAAAGCACCTTTCTGATTAATACTGCTATAAACTTTGGTATTCGAAAGTTGATGTACCTATTGGCTCATTCGTTAACACTGGGCTTGAATCAAGCAAACCACTGTGCCTGAATATCTGAAGTATCACTGACATGTTATCTATCAAGTAAAGAGCTAACAGAAATGGACAGCTGTCTAGCAGTGCAGAAAGGAAAACAATCTAACATATTTACTTCAGGCAATACAAGTTCTGTGATAATACATGACAAGATGATCTTGCCAAAAAACAATAAAAAAAAAGGCAAAAAAAGTCTTGGCTATATACTAAGAATGTAACTGGCAAGCACTAAGATATTATATACACAGAGATAAGTACTTGGCAATGAATGCATTTTACATAGATCCAGTAAGAAAGCCTTAAAAAAATAAACAGTTACTTCAACATTTTTCCTCTGAGCAGACTATGTAAAATGCCAAACAGACTTCAATGACTTTGTCAACCAAGACTGCCACAGTTAAATTTGCCCTGCTATAATCACTGCAAACAATCCATTAGTAAAACATTGACATAAACAATCATGCTTAAGATACAAATAATTTCACTATATTGAAAGCTATGGATAATCTCAAATAATTAGGTGTCATCAACTTCCATAAAGAAATAATTATCATGAGACACTTTGAGAATCTACATTTTATTCTAGAATGTGAACAAAAAATAGGTTGCTTTGTTTTTATTTTTAATGTTATTTTTGGATTTATTAACTATGCTTCATTGAGGAGGATCTACAGACTTTAAACAAGTAAGGAGGCATAGCAAAAAGTGGGCTCAGTCTCATTGTATTTCTTAGTAATTATGTACTGTCTGTTCACTGAGACTGCTTAGTTTCTTTGCTAGTCTACTGAGCTCAACTGGCTCAGGGAGGGAACAGACAAATGCTGGAGCTGGTGCAAGGATGGGGCAGGACTGCAAAGTTAGTAGCACTGTCAGATTTTCTGGAGATTGGCCAGAAAGTCTCAGTAAAGAGGGTACAACACACACATAGTATCCACAGATAACTGTAGTAGAACTTATCTGCCTGAAGATAAGCATCTAGCGCCTATTAAGGCAATGGAAGAAACTGAACCTGGCCTCCAGGTGCCATACCAGATACACAGGTCCTGTGTCTAATCCACAAACGCTCCAGATTGCCTAACAAGACCACGCCAGCACTGACAATAGCATTCACAGTTTGTTTCTCATTCAGAGGTGTTCTTTCAAAAGAGTGCAATACAGCTGTTGGAGTGGATCCGCAGGAGGGCCACAAAGATGATCAGAAGGCTGGTGCACCTCCCCTACAAGGACAGGCTGAGAAACAGGGCTCATCAGCTTGGATAAGAGAAGACTCCAGAGGGGCCATATAGCGGCCTTCCAATACAGGAAAGGGCCCATCGGAAAGCTGAAGAGGGACTTTTGATAAGGTCACGTAGCAACAGGATGAGGGGAAATGGTTTTAAACAGGAAGAGGGTAGATTTGGACTAGATATTAGGAAGAATTCTTTACTGTGAGTGTGGTGAGACACTGGAACAGGTTGCCCAGGGAGTTTGTGGATGTCCTCTCCCTGGTAGCATTCAAGACCAGGCTGGACGGAACTTGGAGGAATCCGGTCTACAGGGAAGTGTCTCTGCCTGTACTAGCAAGGAGGTTGGAACTAGATGATCTTAAACTTAAAGGTGCCTTCCAACCCAAACCACTCTGTGACTCTATAATTAGCTTATATATTGTGAAGTAGACTGGGGACAGTTTCACTCAGATCAGCAGCAGAGGTGGAGACAGATCCTAGTCCTGATGTGCTGTCTGTATGGCCACCCCATCATCACTCCCTCTTCATTCACTCCCAAGAGCTCCAAGAAGGTCAGTTACTAACAGGACAGCTGGCCTCCTTGTCTCTCTTCCCACTAAAATACAACAGTGAGGTAGCCTGAGATTTAAAAAGCACAGTTGATAGGGAGGAGAGAGGAGGAGTCCACTCCATAATTACCACCTGACTTGGTTTTGCTTTTAATTGTTATGTCTGTGTCTAACTATACAATGCATACAACTTGAAAATGCCAGAAATAGCTGTGGTTTGCAGATAGGATTACAAATATGTCTGATGCAGAAAGTTAAAGGCAAACAAGCAAGAACCTACTGCAAAGCCTAAAACCTCCAGTTCACTACACAATGTGTTATCAGTATATTAAATGTAGTAATTCTGTAGTTTAGATGCTCTTACATAGAACTCATTCTGTTATGAAGATACGCAACAAAGAAATATTTTCTCTTTTAAGTAATATATTAAAATAATCTACTACTAATTGAAAGCCATTCTTTAATTTACAGCCAGTCAAAGCAGTGTTTGAAAAACCTAAACAATAAAATGAAGTGGGGTACTACTGCTATGTTTTGGAAGAAAATAATCAAGTAAACACAACACTGAGAAAACAGAGTCTGAAAAGAGGAAACTGCAGCTCTTGAGAGAAAAATACATTTAAAGACTGATTCACACAAAACTCTTAAACTTCACTGCCTGTATAATATAGAAGTGAATCTATAAAACCTACTACATTTCTAGTAATTCTACTAAATCCTACCTCATTCTCAATTGGCATCTGACAGAAGATGTGAAGTGATCCAAAATAAAAGCAGATTATATTATTTGTAAGCTATGCTTCCAAGGAAAATCAAAAGGGAAAACTAATCATTCATTTTGCTTCAATAAAGCAACAAGAGCAAAGAGCTTTGCAAACATTTTTTTTTTTTTTTCAACTGTCAACACTGGAAAAGATAAGGGCTGAGGTAAGCATGACTATGAATTCCTGATAACTGGACCTCGCATAGGATTTAACAAGTGAACAAATAGAAATAAATACACCCAGTCATGCATGATAGGATGCAATAGATAAAGAAATGCTAGATTCCATAAACAAAAGCTCTTAACTCAAGATGTAGAAACAAGTTATATGCACACTTGATCAATGAAGTCAACATTATGCTTCCATGCATATCACATCTTCTGAATGTATAAAATCAGAATCTAATTAAGTTTAACTGGGAAAAAAATGAAATTTGTACATCAATTTGCTATATTTTTGGAGAGAAAGTTAGGAAAGGTTAACAAAAAAATTGAGTCCAGATTAGGAGATGATGTGAGACACTGAATCTTATTTCATTGAAGCTCTGATGATTCCTGAAGAGTCGTGCTCAGAAACCTGCATATCTCTACAGCATCACTGCAAAAATGTGTGTAAACTTAATAATATTAAGTATGTAATGCATGTAAAAAAAGGGCTTGCATGGCAAGAATGAAATCTGCTGCATACGAGACAAAGATATTTCAAAGGAAAATCTGTGACATCCTTTGGCAGCATAATTTTAACAGGAAAAGGTTTGCTGCAGAATCTACACACATATAACTTGCATATGCCTTCATCAAGTAGAGACAAGAAGACATTGAGTTCCCTTTAACAACCACTTACATCATAAGCCAGCGAATCTGCCTCATTGGCCACTGTGAGGCCAGCCAGCTCTCCAAGACCCAGCTCATTTTCAAGGGTTTCATCTGTTCCCATAATGAAAGATTTCCCTGAAGAAGGAGGGAATGTTAAAGCTTCCACTGCAAGAAAAAAAACAAACAAAAAAAACAACAAACACAAAACAAACCCTGAAACACAAGCATATGCAATGCTGATTTATAAAAGTATATTTTCTACTTTCAAAATACTAAGTAGCTGAGTGCAAAAAAAATGTAAGAGGATCACTGTACGTACCAATAAATTGCATCCTCTGAACATAAACTTCAGAAAGACTATGCTACCATTCACCCTTATATAATGCAAAAGTAACACAGAATGAACAAACACTATGATTTACAGTGAACAGTCTGATTCATTCAGGTTGCTTCCCCCTTGTCTGAAGGCATTGGGTACAGACGCTATTCAATTCCTCTCCAGACCATTCAGCATAACTAACCCAATCTTCCTGATCTTTCCATTGCACTCCATACTTCTAAGAAGTATCCTGTTTGCTTTCTATGACCTTTGAAAGAAATAAAAGCCCTTCATCTCTGCTGTTTGATTAAGTCTCTTATGTATTACCTTTTAATTACAAGCACCTCTTCATCACCCTTAAGTCTAAACTTTTGTAGTCTTCATTCTCTCTACAATGTTATACTTCACTCAGTACCCAATGCATACAGAATGCCAAATTTGGAAAGCCACTAGAATTTAAAAAAAAACAAGTATATGCCAAAAATATCAATAGGTCTCCAATTTACAAATATGCAACTAGTAGCTTGCAACACCAAATTCAGACTAATAACAGTCAACTGTCCTCTTTTGTTTTCATCACACCCTGAGTCTCTGAATTAAAAACGCAATCCTGAAAGGAAATGAGAATAGAGTTTTACTAATATGGCTCTCAGTACATGTAAGGAAAGTTAGAAAGGAAACATTCAACAAAAAATTCTTACACTTCTCCAAGTGTTGCTAAGTTACCCTCTTCTTTCATAAAGAAAATCACAAAGCATGTAGGAAATAGAACTACTGAGATCTTCAGTAACTATGCCATACACCAGAGCTTTTTATGCATCTTAATTATAATTTGGACAACTTACATTTTCACACTCACTGTAAGACTGCAAAGCCAACACCATGTCTTTCTCATTTTTCTAAATACATATTTGCCATCTAAATAAATAGCATGATATGATCTTTTACAAGTTTATATATCCTGATATATTAATGGTGTGTATTGCAGCAGTTCAAATGTTGATTCAAATACTTGATTTAGCAACTTACAGAAGCAATATTAATAAAGGAAATCACATGCGATGCTGCAAAGATGAATGGCTTTCCATACAAACAAGTAACTTAAGGACCTCATGTTACAAGCCACCAAATGCCAAGTAAGTTTTTCCACCACGTTGAAAATATTCAACCAGAGTTTTACTTAGGTTGGCGCCTTTACCTTCCTAATAACTGGAGGGGAGGACTGCATTACTGCATTTAGACAGAACTCATAATACTGAATCAGTATTTGTGAAGTGCTTGGAACATCTTGGAGGATACTCTTCAAGCAAAAGTAACTATAAACATCTACCCTTTACAAAAGTGTACGCACGTTTTTAATATTTACCTTCATCTGTCCTGTTTATCTCATGTTCAATCAGCCTTGAGCTACTGGGTCTAGAAGAAGGTGCAACAGATGGCTGTAATGAAGGGAGATCATCAACATCTCTCAAGTTTGCAAGCATATCTTGCAGCTTTGACCTGTTGGGCCCTAACCAGAAAACAAACAAACAAACAAAAGATAGTTTATGGATAATTTGTAACAGCGTTACTTATTATATCAGATACAGCATAGCAGCACATGCAACAAAGAATCCCACCTTGCATTAAAATGTTATGACACACACAAGAAAAATGAGCACCTATTTTGCAGTAATATCGAATTATCCAGCGTGAAATGAATTTATTGAAAAGAAAGTGGTAGAAGCAACCAAGAATTGTGAATGCACAACTTCCCCCACATTTATACATTCACACTGCCAACTGCATGGAATGATGAAGAATGCCTCCAACTGAATCACAGCAACAGTGATTATATTATTTACTTTTCGAAAACAATTGATAGCATTTGTGAATATTTCAGTATTTGTGCATCAGGTTCTTTGTGCAGCATATTCTTATCATAAGATGATCATTTTCAATTTGTTTGTGCAGTAGTGTAGGACTGTGGAACTATATCATCTAAAGGAATGTAACTACATTAAAATATAAATACAACCGGATTCATTGGCCTACTTCCTGAAGCTGTATATGGTGAAGACCCATGCCCTTCTTGACACTTACCTGTGCTTTGCTCCATCATTTTCCCACATCCCTGTTTTGACTGTTTTATATAGGATTGAGGTTGAAACATATCTTCGGCAGTTTTTCCTGTTGTAAGTTTAATTAAGAATGGGAAAATGTCTTACCCATAGCATTATGTTTTTTTCCTAGACCAGTAACAATACAGCTATTTTCAAGCAGCTTTAACACAGAAGTGTACTTTAATACATTTATGCTCTTATTACTCCACAGGAGCGTTTACTACAGCCTTGCAAAATCATAGGTTTACTAATGTAATTGCAAACGCCACTTTGTCCACCCTAACCATAATGATAGTTAATTGACTAAATTGTGCTTAACTCATTAGTCACAAAGATATTATTTGATTGAGGTAACAGTAAGTAGGATTTTGCAAGATTGCTTTACTACAGTATTTGATCTACAATACAACAATATTATACTTGGTAGTAGTTCATCATCTAAACATGTTTTGTGATGAAGCTAGAGTTATAGTAACAAGATTTTTTTAGTTTTGTTTTGTTTCATAATTTAATGTCAAGATATTTAGTCCCTTCTTCTTCCCCACACTTCCTTCCGTGCATTCTTCACCACGTGCAATGTAACAAATAGCTGAAAATGACTCACTTCCCAAATTTTCTGCACTGATGCCTATCCACCTATGGCTTGCCCATGGTCTCCCAAGATCAAAGCAATTAAATCAATCCAAAAGATACTATAAATGTACTGAGTAGTTTTCTATATGAAGGAACACTGGTTGACCAAGCACTGCCATACATCAGAAATTTTTTTCATAAACATACAGAACAATTTTCAGTAATATCTACATCTATATGTAGTTAAATTTCAGTTTTGCTACCAAAAAGAAATAGTATTTAATAGTTGTTCAAGAAAATAACTTCAATCATTTCATTAAATCACTTATGCTAGCTTAACCCTACAACTATCCACCCTGACATAATAGAACACATCTGTGTATTTTAAAAATAACAGACAAGTTAAAAATACCAATTTTACTGAAAATCTTAATCACAAGGAAATTTTAAATAAATTTTATGAATCACAAGCACTTTGGTTGTTCAACTCAACTACTTACTGAGTTGCAAATTCCAGTAACTTAAATGATTCCAAAGATGACAAAAATATCTGAGAAATTTGAAGATTAACTTTAAAAAGTTTATTCTGTGTATTTGATTAAGATTGATCTATTTCAGCAACATAACCAACTGCAGAGCAATAAGTAGCTCATCACATCAATACAAAGTCTAACACCAGTCAGCCTCTAACAGTGATATGAGGATCTGACACCTTTTGTATCGTTGTGCATATCTTCTTGGAAGTGAAAGTATCACTGGAATTAATAAGCATCTTTCCACAAAGAGAGAAACCACTCTCATTTCTTACTGGACTACATGCAGTGCTACTAATTTACATCATTTGCACATGAATTCTCAGTATGGTTAGATTTTTGAAATAAAGCTACAAATACAAAAAAAAAAAAAAAATTTTAAACACTTCATTGAGTTCAAAATGTTTCAACTCTTAGTTCAGAAAAACATTGTTTTACAAAACGGATTTGCGTTTCAAGAAAGGAAACCAAACAATTATAATACAGGGCTAGAAACTGTATTTCAGATACTGATCACAGTTTTTTGTTTGGATAAAAGAATCCAACGTTTTTAAATATTAGTCCAACAAAAGCAAGTCAATAAATCCCATGATTTACAAATAAATGGATGGTTAGAATTGCTTCCTATTTCGAGCCCTGCAGAACAAATTATGATGACAGCATGACTTTCATGTTGTGAATGTTAAGTATAAACAGGGGTAGAAATTAACCTGTTTTTTCCTCTGTCATCTAACACGATACTCCAGACAGCTTCTATATGGCTGTTCAATTTGCATACTAGACTTCAATTCTCCCTGTGAAACTGGAATGTTTTCAGCTAAGAAAGGGTTATGAAATTTTCTATATTGAAGTGTGAAGTACTAAAACAATGCATTTTATAATTTACATTTCTGCAAGAATTTTTAATTAATCCAACGCCTGTTTGGAAGAAACTATCTAATCCAACTACTTATCAGGTAACTTGATTGACTATCATTAATTTCAACCCCTGGGAACTGGTGAACAGGAAAGCAGTCAGGAGCAGCAAAGTAAGAGAGTAAGTAATTTTAGGAAAACATTGAGAGAGAGATAGAATTAAGGGTGTGAAAGATGTAGGATTTATGATTTTAAAGTGCAATGTTTTCCACTTACTCTTCACCCCCTTTTTCCCCTTGCGCTCCTTTTTGTATTGTTCCTTGAGTTTGGTTATTACTCCCTGGTCGACATTCCAGGCTTCAGGCATGAGACATTGGTCTTCCTTTTCTAAACAAAGTGAAACAAATGAAACATCCTTTTTCAGTCATGTCACCAAGTGATCTCCAACTGAAGGAGGTAACAGCTGGTATTGGTACTTGCCTTATTTCAAACAGACAGAAATAGTACCGAGCTCATGAAAGCTATGAAACTGCTACTCCCATTCCACTTTTATTCGCTCAGTTTTCTTTACAAGAAATTGAGATTTTAAAATTTCACATGTCTAATTTCCTTAACTAGATACACAGCTGTTCATAAAATGTAAGCAACATTTACTTTACAATACATCAGCTTTTCTTTCCCCCAAGGAAAGAACCATTATGCATGAAAAGAAGAGTTATGCTAAAGCTATGTTTGTCGTAACTTTACAACTCAGATTTTGCGTCACTGTGTTTCAAATATTCATTTCATTGTCTCTGTGGTATGTTGTCATTTACACAAAGCAGCAGCCCATCTAAATTTTTGTGGAACATAGTATACACATCACCAAGCATTGAATAAAAAGCCCTGAAGAACCTATGAAATTTCACCAAAAGGAGACAGCCTGAGTTATTAGTCTTAGAAAAAGCTACAGAAACATTTCAATATATCTAATGAATAAAATCCCGCTTTTTTAAAAAAAGACCTCTTTCAAATTGCTTTTTCTAGGGAATTATTTAGAAAAATTATTTCCTACAGACTGTCCCCAGATACTTCCTACATGTCTACAGGTTCTGTTCAACTTTACAAGCAGATCTTGAACTACTGTGCAAGTGGTATAACGTGCTTAATTTAAAAATCAGCTGACTGCTCCTGAGAAGCTAAGGACACATTTTACAGATTACTGTAATTGACTGGCAATGTTTAGGATCAAAAATGAAGCAAGGACTTTCTATGTTGCTTCTATACACAGTATTGCTCAATACACAATATTGGTGCTTTATGCCATATTTTAACAGTTTCTTTTGCAAAATTAACACGAGTGATCTGTAAAGGCAGTTCCTTGAAGAAGCTTATTCTTACATGCCATTATTATGAGACACACAGACTATGAAATAAAAATAACTGAAAAACCCAAAGGGCTGTAACTCAAAGAAAATCCCCTAACATTTCTAGAGATTGAACTATTTCTGACGACAATTTATTTTTAATGTTAGACATTTGCTCATTTTTTTTTTACTCATTTGTCATCAATGAAAGTAAAAAGAAACTCAAGGTGTGAATCTGAGAACAAAAAAGCACCTGTTGGCATACTAGCTTTTCAGTGACATAAGCAGTAGATGCACTTTTCAAGCATAAGTGGATAGACAGATCTTCAACTTTGGAGAGAAGAAATATCAGAACAACTTCAAACAATTTATGATAAAAAAGGGCAACATCTCTAAATTTGCTTGGTGATCAGAATGGTGACTTTTGTATCTAAAAACATTGAGAGGTACTCTCTCAGCAAAGAGGCTACCTACTATTGAGCTAATAATTTGTAATCACTGTATTTGTAATAATACGGAAATTTGGAGTCCAACTACAAGCTCGTAACTTCACTGAAATACTGTATCTCAGAATTGTTAGCTCATGTGAGAGCCACTGCTGCCATGGTCAGTTTCCATCAATGTTTCAGTACCATTATAAAGATTAATTATCTCCCATTCATCTTCCACAGCTCCAATCTGTCTCCATTAATGTGTAAAACTTTACAGAGAAGCTTAAGGAGGAAACAACCACTCATAAAAACATTCAGTCAGTTCTCTTCCTCCTTCTCTTCCCTGTGCAGTGCATTTATGTGGAATAATTATTGCAAGATAAAGTGGATCCTGCCATTTTTGGCTGCAGGACATGAACTTCAAGAATATAGAGAACAGTTTGTGAAATTTCACTTGGTGACTGGGGGGCTTGAACATACACACTTTTAATAACTTGTAACAGAAAATTTGAGAAACAGAATGAATCATTTTTTCCACATTGATAATATGTAATTGTATTCAACTAGTTCAGTTCTTTGAAATGCATTACTTTCCATGTCAAAGTTGAAGACAGCAAAGAATGTTTGAAATTGTAAAATACATCTGTATCAGAGTCCCTCATTAGAAAGGGGCACTAGAAAAATCACAGAGATTCCACTCATAGAACTGAAGTTCTATTTGCCCTGTTACTAAAAAAAGAACAGACACACAATGACTGGAAGCAAAAACTTCCACAAACCCTCACATAAAAGCAGTATAAACAAAAATGAGAATATCATATCACAAGAATCTCAATCTGGCAATGAACATAACAATGACATACAAACATAACATACAAATATAAAAAAGGTCCTCCCATTATGACAGAGACCATAATCAACCAATCAGAACATACTCTTAGTGCATTTTCTTTCTCCTGATACATTCCATTACATTTCCTTACCCCAGTCTGTTCCATCTCCTGAACTTCTCGATTCCCCATCACCTTCATCTGAGGTAACCAAAAAGTCAAATTCTTTCAAAGCTTCTTCTGTATCTCTGTCTTCACTACTGTCAGACAGCACTCTTTTCCTTACAATCTGAAATACGAGGAAGGAAAGAAAAAACTGAATTAAATAACATGATGTTTATATCTAGCAGTACTGTTTTCAACAAAATTGTAATACAGTACAATACAAAATTGTAAGAGGATGTTTAAGAAGCAGGAAGAAAGTACTAATAAACCTTAAATTAACATAAAGATTTCCTTCAAATTTCAAAGTAAAAATGAAAATCATCTGTACAGTTACTTCCTGTAACCATCAATATTCAATCACTTGATAATGAATCTACATTGATGTATATGATTACCAGTCTTTTTAATACCAGAAAAGTACAAATCTTCTTTTGATAGAGATAAAAAAAAAACACAACCTAAATACACACAGAACAAAAAACCCCAACACAATGCCATAGGAAGAACATAAGCAAAGCCAAATTGTCTCAACTATTCTGAAAATAACCTAACTCACCTCCGAAATCACTCTACTAATGGACCAAAAGCTTAGCCTAGAAAAATACCTAAGGAAAGTGCTAATTTGCTTAGGTTTGGCAAAAATCATTTCATCTGATATGTCTTTAGACATTTCAGATATTTATAGACAGTACTTCCATGCTTAAACTGCATTTTCCTAATCTAATTCTAAAGCAAATTTGGTAATGGGAAAAAAAATATATACATGTTTTAACAAAAGACCTCACAGTATGCTTCTTGTAATAAATTTACTTTTCCTTCAATACTCAAAATGAACTAGCTGCCTTAAAGTTATTTGATTAACTGGCAAATTAACAAATTTGAAATAAGTAGGGAAAAAGATATTTCTATAGAAAAAGAAAAATTACATTAATCATGTACTTTGACTTGGGACCTTGCTATAAGTCAATGTGAAGATACTTCAGTACCTAGGGCAACATCCCATAGTTCATGAGGATGAATGGCTGTTTTCTCTGAATACGATGAACCAATTTCACAGCCTAGAACAAGACTAAACACTAGACTTAACACTCCTGGCAGATTTAGTGAACATAGTACGTTATACATTATATTACAGAGGTGTTTCAGACAGTAGTTCACAGGTCATCAATTACAAGATTCTCTTTAAAAATAACTTTATAACTGGTATTTTTAAGCAGTCATTCTTACAATTGATCATAAAAATGATCCATTGTATCCACCGTAAGTTATGTCTTCTTAAATTTTTGGATGCATAATTCAATGAATAAACATTCATTCCAAAAATAAGAGGATAAAATTGAGTATTATTTGCGCGTATCTATTTAATGACATTTGACCAAATGATGTTGCAAAATATACACCACGAGGCAGGGAATCAGGCTTTGACTGAATACACAAACCAGTTTATTAACCACATTTTGAAATTTTTCCAGTTATACTTTTTCTTTCTTCAATAACTCACTTAAATCAAAAGTGGTATTTCAGTTCTGTACCCTACAAGCAGAAAATTCTACATGTCACTTTAAATATAAAATGCACTGAAAAAAAGTTAAAAAACAGTAATAATTTTAAAAAGATATCTGGTACTTTAAAAACTGCATTGAACATATATCCAAACTACTAGTTGGTATGAAATAGCAGTTCAAAATATGTCACTGCAAACTTCCAGCAAGACAGATAGCGAAGTTTAACTTGAATGCATGAACTCCTCCTGTGCACACATGCTTGGACAGACCATCATAAAGATGCATTAATGATTTGCACGTGTACATACACAGTCATATACTTTGCATATAGGCATCTCATTAATCTCACTTTTTCTGTTCTTCGTAACTTTTTCAATTATTTTTTCCACTCACTGTTGCGGTATCAATGATTGTTTTCTCTCGTCCTTCAATATCCTCCTCATCTTCTTCATCACTGAAGTCTGCAGCTGCATTTTCAAGGAACTTGAAGGTCTCTAGCAGAGAGGCAGAGTCAGTCAATTCTGGCTTCCTAAACAACAACAACAACCACTATGAGTCAAAAGAAACCATTACAACATCACTTTTGCATTTACCAGTCTGTTCTATTTTATGGTGTCTAACAACACATGAAATTAAAATAAGCCTACAGGGAAAAATGCACTATTTACAGAAAAAAACATTTGTGGCTTAAAAACCTAAATGTTATCCATAAATTCATCTTATTACAACCATTATTCTTTATCCAGGTGCAATTACCAGGCACTCCACAGTTTGTTTGTTTGTTTTTTTTGTTGCTTTTTCCATTTTTAATTTTAGAAGCATTTTTAAGCACTCTCCAGCTGTTACACACCCCAAAGCTCTATCAGTACTGATATATCAACACAGAAAGTTGCAGGAACCAAGGTATAAGTTACAGCTCCACTAAGCAGGTTGTCACATGCACCCCAGGGTACAGGAAAACTTTGCTGGTGCTCATTGATGTTCTCCATCTTGTGGGAAACAAACTCTAGATTTATCATCCATTAACTTTTGTGCTAAATTTGCCTTATAAAATGATGTAAGTGACTCTTCTGTAGATGTTAACACTAAACAAAAGAGGAAAGAATCAAAACTGGGTGAAATCATAACTGCCAACACTGGCACAAACTCAAGGAGTGTCTCCAGAACAGGAGCTAAAAGAGTTGTCATATTAACAGCTGAAGAGGAAGAATTCAAAAAATAGAAATTCTAATAAATGCAAAATTAAAGCAATTCCAAAATTATTAAGGGGTATAATGTTTTCTACGCAGAAGATGAACTTCTTTTTCAGAGATAAAGTGGTGAAAAAATACATTCAGTGTGAACTGTAGTAAAACCCTTTAAAGCACTTCTACGACTTTAAAATTACAAAGGAGACAAACTTTGCTGTTGTTTTCTTACCTTTAACCAGCAGTTGATGTTGCATAGTTCATCACTACATGTACGTCATCTTGATTTTCACAACCACTGAAACCATAGAAGTCTCTCCCTCTCATTTAAGAATTATAGTTCTAAACTGTCTTGTACAGTCATCCCTTCTGACAGTAAGTGCCTTACTAACACTGTATTTTGCTTCTGCTACGACCCATTTAAAAAGGTTCAATCAACTAACAGTGCTATACAGTAAGGCCTTGTAAACTCCCTGTAGTGTAAACACCTGATTATCTGACCATCAGCCTTTTATTCCAGAGTTTCTTCATAACACTTTGCCAAGGCTTATTACAGGAAACATTCAAGGTCAAAAGCTCCGATGTGTAATATGGCGTGATAAACAAAACAATTCCTCCTTTATGCTGTCTCCACTCAATTATTTCTAGGCATACATGATAATCATTAGCAGAAGTGGCTTCTGTATAGCTCCAGTATGTCTGCATCTTCATCAGACAATTTGTCATCCTATTCTCTTACCCATCTGCATTGACTGAAAATACCTGTAACAATTTCACTTGCCACTATAAATTCCACTTACACAGCAGCACAATATACAGTGATGTACTGCTGTGCATGTTCACGGTCACTGGTTTTACCGACTTTATTAATTCTTCTTTCCCTTATCTTAGATGAGAACTGTCTCAAACATGCTTCCAATTTGCCTTGCTTCTTGTAGTATTTTGTCCCTGACAAATCTGAAAGCACTATGTAATGCTGTTCTTTTTCCTCAAGTAATCACTGCACGGGCAGACTATAATGCTTTAATCTGTATAATCTATAATACCTAATTTGTAGCAATAATACAGTTTCAAAGAAATCCTATGGGACTGTTATTTTACTGTTTCCAATGCACAAATGTAATGTGCTTCACTTTAAAAAGTTCTTGTCTTTTTAGGCATTTATGAGTCTTAGTTAACTTTTAGAGGACAAAAATGTCTAACTCTGATTGTTATTTCTTTCTGTTTTTTTTTTTTTTTTTTTTTTTTTCCTGTGTATAAGGTGATGTGAAAATCTACTATGTAAAAACATAGCGATTGCTGATATTGAGTAATAACTGCAGATATACCAGAGTATTGTATGAACTAACACCAATCGTAGAAGAGAAAATTTTATATGAGAGAAATTGTTTTTATGAGTCAAACATCCTTTGTAGTAATTCAAACATAAATTAGTTTCTGTACTCATTTAACCTTACAGTGAAGTTGACAGTGACCACCAAAAGAGATTTTATCTTTTTGTTAAGTAACTTGTCAGAATTCAACTATCATATCAATTTTTACATAGTTAAGTAGTCAGAATATACACTAAACTGCGTATTGCCATTTACAAATGGAAAAAAAGGCACCTTATGCACTGGAATACACAGCTAATCATACATTTCAAAACTTGTGTACAGTACTGAAGTGTACAAAGTCAGCACAGTACAAAAAATATTATTTGTGTTAAAGCACAACTTCCAATAAAGTGTTTGTAAGACAACAACAACAAAAGAAAACAGAAGTGGGAAAATATTTAAATTATTTAAAGGCTCCACAGAGAAAAGAAGCTTCAAGCTCATACAGTTTGACTGGCTATACTATACCCCTAATATATTTTAACAACCTAGTCAACAGTGACTCACAGTGACTCACCTATGATATCTTTCATTTTTTAGTAGTACCTAAACTTAAGGCATCATTTTAGATATTACCATCAACACAAACATCTACAAATACTCTAAAATACACAAGAGAAAATACCTGGACTTAACTAATTTGCCCTTTGATGACAATTTGAAGCTTGCCTGTTTCATTATTCTCCATTTGCTAAGTTGGTTTCTGTTATGGAGTCACTCACAAAGCAACGGAAAAAAAAGTGGCAAAAATATATTCTGAGACACAACAGTACCATAAATTACTTTAAATTCCTTTCTAGAAAAATGAACACAACTCAACACTTCCAGAATTCTTGCAGTCCATAATACTTGGAAAAAAAAAACAACCAAAAACATTCAATGGGTGAAAATAATAGTACAGCAGATCGAAGAGCAGGGACCAGCAGGGAACTGTCCCATTATACAGGCATTAGCGAGGCAAGACAATGGCAAGATCCAGGAAACGCTGCAAATACAGGGAAACTGAAAGAACAAAAACGACTTGGAAAGCACTATTCCTCTTTACTAGAATGCCCCAAATCAAAACATAAGTAGGGAAGAATGTCACTTTCAAAGTGATGCTTTTTCCTTCTTCCTTAGTCTCACTGTCTAAAAGAACGCTGCTGGAGAAGAGCAAGTCTTCTTGGATGTTTCATCTCAGCTGGCTTACCACTTCCTAACCAGATCTAAAACTCATTTAACCAACACAGCATTTTCTATTAATCAGGCTTAACTCTGTGTGGGCATCACATTCTTCTCTCCTGTGGCCATATCCAAAGAAGCAGGGAAGCCTCTGGGCAGAGAACACCTGCTACTCATGCCTGAGCACCAGTGAGTAGAGTAGGACTAACTGCTCATCACAAGTGTAACAAGCACAATAAGCACTGCCAGGATGTAAAACACAGCTACATTGATGCTGCAGGACTCTCCACCTTAGTACTAACAGATGGACAGTATGCAGAGTATTCCTCACACAGGGAACTTCTGATTCCCAAATATAAGATACCTTTTTTCCTGTTTAAAAAACAGAATTCTTGTTATTATATGGGCTGGTAACTTCAGTACTTACCTCCGTTAGAGCAATATAAACCTAAAATCACTTGACTACTTTTATCCTCAGAAAAAGTATCTAGAATTTTCTGCAATTGTGACCACCCTGAAAATCTTACTCTAACCCATATTTTACATGCTGTTTGATAATACAGATGTGTCTCAACTCCTTCATTTCTTTAAAATTAAAAATATAATAATGTCTTCCCTTGAAATGAAAGAAATACAATTTGTGGATGTTCCACATATGTTACTGAAAGCATGCTAGGATCTCACTGGGCCCACGCAGCCAACTCTTTGCTTTCTTCTCTACAATCACAAGGCTCGGAACAAGCATTTTGTGTAAAATCCAGTTGGCCCTGATAAGGAAATAATAGCAGCTTTAAAAAATACTGTAGTGTTGAACTGGCTCTAACATTTAACATTCAGGATCTTAACATAAACCCTCTGGCAGATTTTGTTCTCTTATTATGGGAAAAGTAGAAGCTATAACTTGTATGAAAAGTGAATACATGAGGTTACTAAACAGCACATTGATGACACCTTTTCTGCTTCTAACAAGACCCTGATGTTTCATGCTAGAAAGCCAGGTTTAATTCAGACTAGTGCCAGATTACAGCTGTGTATTTTCTTCACTGTCTATATTTCTGTCATTTTTTTTTTCCTCTCCTGATATGACTCTGGGGAGTTTCTGTGGTCATGTCCTTGGAGAGTGCCACAAACTTCTCCCACAAACTGCCTGGCCACAAAACCACTAATTGCCTCAGTCCTATCCACTCCCCAGCAGAAAAAGGAGAGGTAGCCTTGCTGGATCGGTTCCATTTTTGTTTGATTGGCTTTCAGTCCAAAACATACACAAGTTGCCTTAAATAAAAACAGATTTTATTGACAAATTCAGAAGCAGGAAGGAATACCACAGTATAAAGTTAAATAACAGGGGTTCAGCTGAGGCTGAGAAATGTTTCCAGGACCTGTACAGGAGAAAGCTCATCATGGCCCAGCATCTGAAGAACTGTTAAGTGAATTCTTCCTTGAGCCATTTTTGTTTTGTTTCTCTCACTACCAAAACACGATAGCACAAAGTCACTGTTTTTATTAATTTCCCACTGAATGTCAATATTTCACATTCTAATACAGTCTTTTCAACATGGCTGATGGAGTCCTTTCAAACTGGATACAGTAAATAACGGCATGCAAATTCAAATATTTTCCTATGACAGCTGTCTTTAGAAAACAATTTAAGAAATCGTGATTACTGTGCAAAAAATCTCATAGTATCAACACTAATATCAAACCAATAATTTATAAACTTATGAACGCTTATAACCATCCAAATTAAAACACATACAGCACTGTACAGACTAGAAAGTCTGTCACAACCATTAAAACTTCTTACA